TTACTCCATGCATACGGTATATAAAGCAATATTTGTAACAATGAGACAATAAGATACCGTGCCTTTAGGCACATAATACTATCGAAAGCAAAAGAAATGAATCAAACCCCCAATTGAGTCAGTCCAGCACATACAACATACAATGAAGGTGAACTTTATTGCCCCTAAGTATTAAATAGCCGTTGTAAGTTACACAAAAGATGTCATACATCATGGAGTAAAGAATATTCTTTACTACCTGCATATATAAAGTAATATTTGTAACAATGAGACAATCAGATACCATGCCTTTAGGCGCATAATAATGCCTATTCATAATTAGTAATAAATATAGCAATGGTGAATAAAAAAATACAGTATATACGAAATATTCGTTTCCTTATAAATCTAACTAGTACACATTTTCAAACAACTGATGCATGGTTTAATTTTTCACTAGGGGCACTTTTGTCTTTTTCATACAGTTGATAAAGAACTTTTTCTTTGATAGGTTATGCCTGATATGATCTTTAAATTACATCATTTAAATCACATTTTAATTCCCGCCGTCAGGGGCACATTTTCAAACAGTTTATAAGAAACTTTTTTTTTTGTTTGATAGGCTGTTCCCAATACGATACTCGCATCACTTTTCATTTATTCAAGCTCTTTTTTCACCATTATTTAATTATATAAACAGAGTGCTACACACAAAAATTAATTATATATATATGTATATATATATATATATATATATTATATGGTGTTACTTCACTGCTATAGACAGGTCTCACTATGATTATGAGATGTTTGATGTTTGCATGATATCCCTAATTATACATATACACAATCTTGATTCACCGTGCTGGTAGTTTACATATGTAAATATGAAAAAAACAAAGATTGTGGCCGCCATCTTGATATCCTATATGGCAGTCATCTTGAAATTCAATATGGCGGCCTTTTGACATAATTTCTGATATCTGCATGATACTCCCGGATATCGAAAGCACGAGTACAGATCTTTGACAGTGCTAGGTGTTGTAGATATGACAGTATTTACAACATTATCAATAATTAACTTGGCGGCCATCTTGAAATAAATGTGGCAGCAATCTTTAAATTCAATGGTGGCATTCTGACATAATTTCTGATGGCTGTATGATAGTCCTTGATATTGAAATCATGTGTAACGGTCTTTGATTGACAGTGTTAGGTGCTGTAGATAAGATATTAATATTGACAAAAATAGCAATAATTTGGCGGCCATCTGGAAATCCAATATGGCGGCGCCATCTGACATAAATTCTGATGATTGCATGACAGTCCCTGATATTGAAAACATGGGTAATGATCTTCAGTTGGAGTGATAGGCTAAAATCTATTATTCTGGCGGCCATATTAAATTTCAAGATGGCGGCCATTTTGAAATTTAATATGGTGGTCTTCTGACATAATTTCTGATGGCTGCATGGTAGTCTCTGATATCGAAAACATGGGCAACGGTCTTTGATTGACAGTGTTAGGTACTGTATATATGAATATTGACAAAAATATCATTAATCTGGCGGCGAAGAAATCTAATATGGCGGCGCCATCTGACATAATTTCTGATGATTGCATGACACTCCCTGATATTGAAAACATGTGTAATGATCTTCATTTGGCAATGACATGTGCTGTAGATATGAATATATTGGCTAAAATCAAATATTTTGGCGGCTATATTGGATTTCAAGATGGTGGCCATTAGGAGGCGTTATTTTTTGGGGTCTATTTTTTTTAATGATCTTTGGGTGTCATAGTATCACTGTGGGAAGTTTCATGCTTTCTTCCAGAAGTGCACGATTCTACCTGAAATTCAACCTTAGCCGCTCTACTAAAAACCAGCCATGAAAGCCTGATGTTAATTTAGTGACTACAATTCATTTATTGATTTCTTTACATAAATTTCAGGACGAAAATAACCTTCTTGTAGAGTACTGTACATACAACAATCTTTCGACAATTATCACATCTCCCTATGGTCTCTATGTGCTTTGTGTAGGCCTCATTAGGCCTACAATCAATGTATCCAGTAGCAGAAAACACTCCCACACATTGGAATCCAAAAGGCAGTGAAGAATGTACATCAATATAAATCTTATTTTCTAGTACGGTATATATTCTGTGGCGGATCCAGGATTATGGTAGAGAGGGATTAGGAGAGACTTTTAGAGATGTGCAAGTCTACAGGTGGGCTAAGTGCAGCACGACTGCAGCCCACAAAATTAAAGCCCTATTGAAACTGAACATAAAATTGAGTACTTTTTGCATCAGTTTGGCATCCTCTCATCCTCCTATGTTCCAACTCCAATCATGGTTGGTGCTAATTTGCAATTAATTTTCTTTTGTTTCCCCATTTAATATTTGTTAATGGAACAAAAATCAATATCACTTCACTACTAGGTCCTATGATAGGGGACTACCACACACCAGTACATACAGTACTCCACACAGGTTTTTGTCATTGCTATTTCTCGAGGATAGCCTAAGAAAAGGGTAAAAAGTCTGCAGACACAATGCTAAGCTAGGACCTATTGCACTTCTGTTAGGGTTATCGTATCGACTGTCTGTGCTGTGCCCAACTCATACGGTATGCCGTGAAATAATACAGTATATCTATCTACAACATCCTACCGTGCGAATAAGAGTTTCTTTCCACAATTCGCACGGTACCATGAGAATAAGCTTTTATGAGTCTTATTCGCACGGTAGACCTAGCCAATCAGCATTTAAGGTTTCATGACGTAACGGCTGTCATACCGTGCGAATAAGTTCTTATTCCTAATTCGCACGGTACCGTGCGAATAACCTCTTTCAAAGAAAAATGCCTATAAAGCCTATAGTCTAAGGTCCATATTTCGGAAATGGGGAAACACCACTGTAAGCACCAACAGCAAGGGGATCAAAACACTGGGCCCTCAGTAGGATCGCAACACAGTAGAGAACACTACTTCTACAGTCTCTGAGTGCCATTTTCGGGCTTAATTTGGCACCTTTTTCGAACATTTTCCTACCTCAACTATGGTGCGACTGAGGTCCGGCTCCCCCTCCTCAAGTCGATTAAACAAGCATTTGAAACCCTAAACTGTAAAAAATTTCTCGGGCTTCGCCCCCTGAACAGCTTTCGAAACATTTTAAGCGACGCTTGACCACGCCCACTTTGTTCACGTCGGTGAAATCTTCCACCTGTCGGAGAAATCCTGGTGCCACCCCTGCTCTTGGATGATGTGCGGAGGGGCTCCGGGGATTGTGATTTCTTCTCGTTGGCCGGACCAAAAATAGTTGCTTCCTACGGGCCTGAAAGATAAAATGACTTATGGTCTCGTAGTCTGTTATTAATTTACTTTGTTGTATAACATGTCACCTGCTCTTGGAAAGTTCATATTATTCAACGCCTGCATAATATTCTATTCATTTGATTGGCTAAAAAAGGTCACGTGGGATTTAATTAAAATGACTCTTCCATGGTTTTTGAGTGACTAGTCAGTAGTCCAATCTTCCACCTGCTGCAATATTCTACCCCATTGCATCCATAAACGTTCATTATTAGTATAACAGTCATCTTTCATTTTGTACATTTGTGCCTTCTTCTTTGGCTCATCAGGGCCGGCGGAACGTTTTTCAAAGTGGGGGGGGGGGCCACTTATAAGATGAATGGGAATATGAATCATGCAGATCTGGAAAAACCTAGGGGATGGGGGTCAACATTTTTCGCAAAAAGGAAAGGGGATCCGGGGGTCCTCCCCCGGGAAATTTTTGATTTCTAGATGGCGGGAAATGACCTTTCTCGACTTTTAAGCTAGGTTTCTAATGACTTTGTTCTTCAAAATTCAAGGTTTCCAAAGAATAGAGGGGGCCGGTGGTCCTCCCCCGGGAAAATTTTGATATCTAGAAGGCGGGAAATGAGTTTTCCCGACTTCCGAGGTGTCTTTTAATTACTTTTAAGTTCTTCAAAATTCAAGGT